AAGGGAGCAACATAAGGGATGACCATCACAGAGTGGCCAGGGGAGGAGCCGGGCCTGGAACTGCCCTTCCACTGCGCATCCTCCGCCAGCAAGGAGCTGCAGCCCTTGCCATCAGTGGCATCTGTTTCTCCTGGATTTGTGTATTGATCTTCCTTTAATAGAAAGTTTTTTATTGACCCTTGGTTCTTTTCGCAGAAAAAAGACATTAAGTACTTGCTTTTTTTGGTTTTCCCATGGTAGCCGCTTGGGTGAGGAGGCAGAATTTTAACCTCTTGCTGACTTTGTGTGTGGGTGTGTGTATTTGTGCATTCATTGTCTCTCTTGTATCTTGAGGGAATAAATCCTGCTCTAGAATCTGGACTTTAGAAGAGATTCCCAGAGGCCAACTGCTCAGGCCTTTGCCCCCAGACAGGTCTTCATCTGAATGGAGGCAAACATTTCTGAATATACCCTGGGTGCATCTGGAGGGTGTAAGGGAACCTGAGTGGGTGGGGCTCCAGGCTCTGGATATTTCATGTTTGCTTGAAAGAACTGTTTCCCATATTGAGACTTTGAGTAATGTTTCATTAGCTAAAAATGCTTTCCTCTTATGAAGCGAAAGGTTAAAATGACTGGTCTGTGCTACCTAGGAGGGACTCATATTCTCTTTTGGAAAAATTTCAGAAATGAAAAATTTGAACCCATTCTTCTTGCTTTCATAGATTGTTTGGCTAGTGATAATCTGGGGGAGAGAGAGAGGCAGGGCTGAGTAACTGTGAAGACAATGGAAGTAGGATTTCTTTCTTTGAAATTCAGCAGGCATTTCTAGAGCTTGTTGCGTTTTCACAGCTCCAGGCTGGCACCTCCTGGAGCTGAGCAGCATAGTCGCCTCATATGACCCCATGGGTAACACTGCTCTGGATGGCACTGGACTAGGGATGCAGGACCATGAGACAGGAAGAGATCAGGTCTCCTGCCCTTGGAGCTCGTTGTCATTGTTCATTGCTAAGTGGTGTCCCACTGTTTTGCAACTCCATGGACTGTAGCTCACCAGGCTCCTCTGTCCATGGGGTTTCCCAGGCAAGAATTCTGGAGCGGGTTGCCATTTCCTTCTCCAGGGGATCTTCCCGACCCAGGGATTGAACCCACGTCTCCTGCATTGGCAGGAGGATTCTTTACCATGAGCCGTCAGGGAGCCCTAAAGAAATAGTCCTTAACTGTTAAGGTTTGATGGGGGTCAATGCACATTTTCTTTCCCTGTCCATGATCAGAAGCAATTGAGAGAAATTCAGGCATTAGGAAGATTCAAATATCACCTTGATGACTGGTAAATCTGATCCTAGAGGATGTATTTTATATCTGTGGGAAGGTGAGTTTTTAAAAGTGAATACTAGAATCAAACAGACTTATCCACTCAACACAGCTGTCTACTAAAAAAACGTAGTCACAGTCTGAAAATTGAGAGTTATTTTATTTGGTGGGAATGTTAAGGGCTCCAAATCCAGGGAGCAGGATCTCAGTAGACCTGAGAAAACTGCTCTGAGGAGGTGGGAGTGGGAGTCAGGTTATATACAAGTTCACAACAAAGTGGGCAGGGAGTCTGACCATCAAAGATTACTGCTACATTGTAAGGAACACCAAATATCAAGCTAAGGGATTTAGCTTTCTTTGTAAGAGAAGATGCAAGCCTCTGGGCTCACTGAATTCATTCCATTCACATGTACCTAAGCTATCTAGGGCCAAACCCTGGCTTAAAAAAACTTTTTTAAAAAAAATTTCTCATATCCTGTCCCCCACTAAGCCCCCCAGCTCTTCAGCAATCACTATTAGGGGTGACAGCATTTGCTGGATTGCAGGCCCTTTTGGGAGCCTTCATTCACTCAGATGGCAAAGAATTCGCCTGCCAACGCAGGAGACCTGGGTTCAGTCCCTGGGTTGGGAAGATTCCCTGGGAAAGGGAATGGCTATCCACTCCAGTATTCTTGCCTGAGAAATCCCATGGACAGAGGAGACTGGCAGGCTACAGTCCACGGGGTCACAAAGATTCAGACACGACTGAGTGACTAACACTTTCATTCACTTATGGTGGCTTGGAACTGCTGATGGCTGTAACATTTCTTGCCCACCAATATGGCAGGACATACTTCATTTCACACAGGTAACACAAGGGAAGCACAATCTTCTCCTGCCAGCTATTCCCCTCCCCTAACATTTTTAGAATGGGGAAGTAGAGTAGAATGCTCCCTAATCTCTTAAAACAGCAGAGGAGAAAAAGTGGTCAGGCTGCACACGTCCAGTTCTTACCCCCATATTGCCAACCCAGGGGAAAGGTCTGGAGTGTTACACTCAAAGGTGTCCCTCCACAAAAAACGCCAGGTATGGGAAAAGGAGGGCTTCCCTGCTGGCTCAGATTGTAAAGGGTCTGCCTGCAATGCAGGAGACCTGGGTTTGATCCCTGGGTCAGGAAGATCCCCTGGAGTAGGGAATAGCAACCCACACCAGTATTCTTGCCTGGGGAATCCCGTGGACCAAGTTCCCACTCTCAACAAGCCCAAGTGATCAGCTGGAGAGGAACTCTTAAAGTAATAGATACTGACTATATGAATTTTTGGCACAAGAAACAGATTTGGATATTGAAAAGGAATGATCAAAATAGTGCGTGTTAGTCGGGGGACATTTCTGGAAGGAAGCAACGGGCCTCTTGGTAGAGAGACGGGCACAAAGCTTTAAATGTATAGAAATGGGGGAAAGTTCTTGAGGAGCTTGAACTATGGTAAATGAAAAAGGCCTCCCAACGTGACAGATACAGTGGCTCTTGTGACCTGGGAGATGTGGATTAGTGTCAGCAGTCTAAGTGGTCATAAAGATTAGATGGCACAGCCCCAACTGGAACAAGTTCACAGACACCAGGCCAGCTGGTGCAGCGCCGTGGAAGGCCCACAGGAGGCAGTTATGACGGGGGTGGTTCTGGGGATTCCAGCGAGACCAGGCTCCTGGCAAGAGACAGCGTGAGTGGGGGCCCTCGCTTCTGACTTATTACTAGTTTGATAAATCGGGTTGCTTTCTCATTTACCCAGCTGAAAGAATATAGCTTTTAGCTTAGTTTTCTTTAGAGCAAAAAGTAAAGTGTTTTTTTTTTTTCTTCTCTTTGTTATATCAGCTAGGATGCAACTGAGAGCTGTGTGTATGTAGGCTCAACTGGTATGATGATTTTTCTTGAGTTTTCTGTTGCTTAATTGAAAGTGGGTTAAAATCCAGTTCAGGTTCTAAGGAAGATCCTGGGAGGAATAGTAACACAGACCTTCCAAAAACAGTGGACAATTCAGAGGCCATGTCTTTCTTGATTTTGGAATTACTATATGATTTTTTTTTTTTCTGGTTGTGCCATGCATCTTGTAGGATCTTAGTTCCCCAACCAGGGATCCAACCCTGGCCCTTGGCAGTGAAAGCATGGAGTGCTAACCACTGGACTGCCCCAAACTGATTTTCAAAACACATTTTTCTTAGGGTGACATTATGGTATATTCTAAGAGTACCCAGAAACTGGTAGGTAAAAAGGGAAGGGACAATAGAGGTTTAAAATTAACTGTGGATGAATATATAGACAATCAAAATTTAAGGAGAACTTAGTCCTGTCTGATCCATTTGCTGCCTGTTTGACCATACATGGTGGGGTTATTCATGGTGGGGTTATAACTTAACTGTTAAGTTAAATTGATTAATCCTAGTGTTAATCAGAGATATCTGTCTGTGTCATATAGTAGAGAGTTTGTTGTGACTGTAGGCAGAGACCTAGGTGACCAGTTGAGAATGTATTTCCATCTGCTTGCTGTCTCCTAAAATAAAATAATAAAGGTAAAATGCTGAGCCCAGTGCCTTGTGCAAAGGAAGCTTCTCTAAGACTTAACAACATGGAGAAATATCTACTGTATTTTAATTTGAAAATGGTTATAGAATGGTATGTAAAGCAGTATCCCAGCCAAATAGCTGTTTAGTTCCTATAAGCCAGATGGTGTTTTAGGAATTAGGTGCAAGAACTGGAGGAAGTGAATCTACCACTGCTTTGTGGCCTGTTTAGTTTTCTTACACAAGAGAGGTTGGTGCATCTTGCTATGATGTCCTCAGTAGATAGAAAACATCTATTTCTTTTCCTTCTTTATTTTTTTGGGGAGCCAGAGACTAATTTTGTGCAGATATTTGTCCAGAGATACAAGAGTAGGTGACCTCTCTGAGAGGTCAGTCACATGAGCCCGGCCCATCTTCTCCTCCTGGGGTTTAGGGCAGGGCTTTGGGGGAGCTCATTTATCCCTCACTTTAGCCCAGGAGCAAGGTTTGGAAGTTGAAACACATTCACCGAACGTTCTAAAGCACTAAGTAATCGCAGCCCAAAACCCTCCGGAGACCTCCCTTTCTGGGGAAGCCTTGGCTGGGAGAATCATGGTGATTTTCCTCCTTTCTTAGTGTGTCCTCGTTTTGCATCATGTTGGACCTTTGAGATTTTTATTCTGGGGAGAAAGACTTAGAAACGTAGTTTCTAGCCCATGGTCAATTAAGCATTTGAGTCACAGCGATGGGTTTCCCAAACCAAATTTTGGCACCGGAGCCTTCAGTAATGGAAATTTGAGTTCTGTGGTCTGCTGACCATGGATGGCGCCACCCAGCTGGCCCGCATTCCTTGCTTGGTCTCTGTATGCCCTAAGGTAAGTCTTTAGGTCTCTGTACCTCAGTTACTTCCGTAAGATCAGGAAGCATTTCCAACCCATTTTCTAACCATTTGACAAGGGTTAAGAAATCTGTACTTACAGAATTATTTGAACAGGAGAACCTCCCCCACTGAGTAGTTACTATGAAACTTTTATTCCAGCAAGAAGAAAAATTAGTGGTGTAAAACCCCAGAACCTGAAGGAATGAAGCCATTCTAAAAGTGAATTGATGTTTGTGCCAATTCCTTCCCAAGGCCTTATGTAAGTCCCTCTAATGAGAGTGCAAATTACTGACCAACATTTTGGTATTTCTTTCAGGGACACCTGTGTGGTTCTTTGTGAAAATTGCTCCAATTCGAAATGAACAGGATAAAGTGGTCTTATTTCTTTGCACTTTCAGTGACATAACTGCTTTCAAACAGCCGATTGAAGATGATTCATGTAAAGGTTTGTAATTCTGATTTGTACAAATACTTTTAAATCTTTTTTATTTTTTTGTCTATAGTGTGACTCTTTGTTACAGAGAATTTGAGGTTGCCACAGCAATCTCTGCACAAGGACCAAGATTTAAACTTTAATTTGTGTTGGGTAAAGCATTGTATCATTCTGGAATGCATTGAGGGAAACGAAAGTGAAGAAGAAAGCTTTGGTTAGGAAGGCATTTTAATCAGTTTCACACCCCTGGAGATTAACCCTTTCCAAGTAGACAGAAAGGTAATTGGGCACCTCTGGTATCATTGGAACCTTTGCAGGTTTTCACAAGACCGATGTCAGTTAACCAAATGAGTGGCTCATGACCACATTCATCTTACTTCTATATACACTTCTTTAAATTTGACTGAGTTCTAGCATTTTCAGAGTGTTGAAGAGATTTTGGCACATCGCTACCTCTGTGGTTGATTAAGTCTGTGGCTGGTTAATTCATTGGAAACATGGCATTAATGAGGCCAGAGTCTTCAGTAACATTCCCATATGGGTCATTTAATCAGCTCGGGAACCACAGATTTTAGCACTCACCTCAGCCGTATCACATACACCTATTGTTTGAATAACGCTGGGGACCTAGGAGAGGAGATGGCTCAGGATTGCTAGAACATCGATACTCCTGAAGTGGTCCAGCCCATTAGGCTGTCAAACCCAGAAGTCTGGAATTAGGATGTTTCAGAGCACTCTTTTCCAAGATAGCCAAGAGGCCAGGAGCTCTTTCTCATGGCAGTATTTCCTGGCTGGGCGGCTGATTTTCCAGTTCTACCTGAGACCCTGGTCCTTGCAGTTTTCTGAGATGCAGCAGAGAGATAGGAGTGAAGTTCAGGGAGAGTAAAACTGGGGCATATTATCCTTGATGTGACAAAACTGTGATTGTTAAATGGCAAGAAAGGAAGAAATAAAAAGCTTTCCCTGGCTGCTCCCTCTGGAACTGTGTCCTCTGAGGGCGTATAAAGTCCTACCACGTTTGGATGCTCATTTTTATAGAGTTCAGAGCACAGTGCTGTGCATACCAGTGCATCCTTTTTTTTTTTTTCTTTTTACTATCTATATCTCAGTAAATCAAGACAGCCTGCCTTTGGGTTTCAAGACCAGAGCAGATGTAAATAAAGTCTCTCCACTTGTCTCAGCCTCCTGCAGTCTCCTTTTCTCCTGCAGGTTTGTGATTCCCTGATTTCTGGTTTCTGACTCAAAGATTTCTCAGGGCAGTGGCTATCACAGGGTGATAGACTCACTCATGATGCATGTCATCCTGTTACCATCTAGAAAGTGAGTTCACTTTTTTAACCAGGTAAACACATAAATAGCATTTGAAAGATAATCTGATATTTTGACACTTGTTTTTGCAAGTTTTCTCTGAAAAAATGTGAACTAGGGGATGTAGTTGAGTCAACATTTTCTTATCACCACCACTGGAACATTTTCAGGTGACAAGAAGGGACTGTTTAGCAGGAAATGCTGAGTCAACTTAGAGCACCCACCACATGTGCCTAGGGGTCCGCATGGCATTCTCGGGGAACCTGAAAGAAGAGACGAGTCAGACTGATGTAGGGAGACTCACTGAGGCTTATTTTTCAGGCATAAAAATGCTCCACTTCATTTGTCCTGCCTCACTCATGTCTTTCCCTTGTGGATAAAAGTTTTTGCGCGCACACACACATATACACACACACACACACATGCACACCCTATTCCCTGTTAGCCAAGGGAACCAGATATGAATTCTCTTTGTCTGTTAAATACATAGGAATAATACATGGCTTGCTTCCTAAAAATTTAAAATATACATGTGTGTGCATGCACACACAAGTACACACTCTTTGGCCCTCAATATAGGAATGCAGATGGTGGATCATGTATAATGTTTCCTCCAAGACAGTGCTTTATAAGCCTGTCCACTTCAAATGCTATGGCAGATATGTTTAGACCTTCCCACTCGTCATGTCACCATGCCTCTGATGCAAGTGGATATGGTGGTCTGTTTAGGACGAGGTCAGATTTTATATTAGTCTGTTGATGATGGAAAAGCATGATAATTCTCCAGGCCTTATTCGTTGTAAGTCTATAAACTGCAGTTCTGGCTGCAAGGGTCCAATATAACGGTGGGAAGATGTCTTGTGGATGGGAAATGCACTGCTCTGTGACTGGGTGATTCTCCTGACTTGACATTTCTCCTTGGAAGTGTTCTCATATTGCGAGATTCCAGCCGGTCCAGCTGGGCTTTTAGTGCAGCACCTCAGTTAGCATAAAAAGTCTGAGTGTTGGTGACCCAGGCTTGCACAGAATTCATCTTTTTTTAAAAGATTTATTTACTTTGGGCTGTGCTGGGTCTTTGTTCCTGCACGGGCGTTCCTCTAATTGCAGTCAGCAGGAACGACTCTCGTTGTGGCGTGTGAGCTTCTCATTGTGGGGGCTTCGGGCTTCAGCAGCTGTAGCAGGCGGGCTCCATAGCTGCGGTTTTCCGGGCTCTACGTCAGAAGCTCAGTAGTTGAGGCACATGGTCTTAGTTGCTCCATGGCATGTTGGGACCTTCCCGGACCAGGGATCAAACCCATGTACCCTGCATTGGCAGGCAGATTCTTTACCACTGAGCCACCATGGAAGCCCATAGAATTCACATTTGTGGTGGAATGGAAGGATGGATAATTGAAAAACCCAGAAAATCCCTAGGTATTTGCTCTTTGGCATAGCAATATGAGATGTTTTCCCATTAAAGTCAGCTATGCTCAGATTGTCTTTAAAATGACTTTGTTTTCTCTGATTGCTTTGTGCCTAACTTCAGGGCTTGGGAGTGGGATGAGTGCATCCTAACAGTAATTTGAGAAGCCATTTGGTGCCTCACATTTTCCCATGAACAACCCACAAAGGGGAGAACACACAGGATCATTGGTGATAGACTATTTTAGCATCTGACACAAAGTAACTCCCCATTGGCCCTAAGCTCCAATCACATGTGATGGGACCTGGGTATGCTCTCTAAGCCCGCTCTTTTATTTAGTATATCAGTTCTCATGACCCTTTTCATGAATTATCTAGACCTCTGATTGCCTCATCTCCTCCTTCCTGTTCATCTTTTGGCTGTTTCCCTTGTTCTCTGATAAAAAAAGTGCCCACAAATGGCATGGAGCAAGGGGGTGAAGGTCAAGCTAGCTTTGCTGTTTGGTAGCAGCTCTAGTGTATGTGTATGCATGTGTGTGAGGTGTGTGTCTGTGTGTGTGCATGTGTGTGTGTTTGAAGGCTGAAGGAGAGTAGGTGGGAATTATTGGTTGAAATGAGACTCAGGGACGCTCCAGGGTTTCATTTGTTCCCCATCTCTTGCTCTTCTGTTACTGTGGATCACTGGGAGCGGGCTGCAGGCTGTTCGTCTCTGTTGAATCCGCCCTTAAACCAGGCAAGTGCGTAGAGAAGAATTAGAGTGTGGGGCTCAGAGTTTTTTTCCACATTGTTCACCCCACGATGAGTCACCCCTCTTGTCTGCTCTCTTACCTCACTGAATAATCTCACATTAAAGGAGCAAATTCATTTTCGAAGATCCACACATTTACTTCTAAATTCAGGGTTAAAAATGAGCCAAGAGTGGACAACAAAATGAATGTAAAACTCTGAAGGAGATTTTTAAAGGCCAATGGTGTAGAGTATTCAGGACTGAAGGCTCTGGCAAGCTGCCCTGACTGCTGACCCTTCTCCACGAGGCTTCACGTGGGGGTACATATGAGGTGCTCTCCGGGAAGAAAGAGGCTAATAGATACATAGCACAGGCCCCCTCCTCCCCAGTAGTCACATTTTCTCTCTCTGTCCTTAGGATGATTGGAAGGTGATGATGTAGTGACTTCTGCTTGAAGAAGCTGCCCTAGAGTTTTGGTTGTTGGTACGTCGATAGGAGAAAGGTCTGGGGGCAGGAAGGTTTGAGGACACCACGGCAGTGTCCACACTGACTGGTGGTCCCCGTGTCCTTTGTTATCTGCTAGGTGTTGGGTTATGGCTCCAACTCCTCTAAGGGACCCCGTGACTTGTCAGATTAGGATGAGCCTGGCCTCCTGGCCTCCACCCTCCCAGGGCAAGGGTAAATACTTTAAGGAGTCCTCTGCAACTTCCCTTCCAAGTGTCTCCACGTGGTTTCCCAGGGAGGGGCCTCTAGGTCTGAGTTTCTAGTATCTCTGGACTTGCCCTGGGAGGAGCTGGAATTTCAGCTCATCTTAGAACCATCTCTCCTGGCCTAGGGAGGATACAGGGATGTATGGGCTAAAGCAGCCTAGTGGGGGACTCATCCCAGTTGAAGCCAGTAGCCAGGGTGGGCTCAAGTAAGGGAGAGAGTGTTGTCCTTGCTGAGAATGGAGAAAGGACTCGGTGAGTACTTTCTAGCTGCTTGTTAGATTGCAAACTGCATTCCCCTCCTCCTGTCCTCTGTTCATGCTTTTTTCCCCCCCTCCTCACCCCTCTTATCTTGCCTGATCATGTGATGCTTTGATCTTCTCATGACACCCCCAGCCCTACCTGCCATGTGGTGACCTTTAAGACAGAGCTAGAAGAACCCTGAGCTGGGGATTTCTTCATCTGAGCTCAGTTCCCTGTTGAACTCCCAAATGGGATATAATTGGAAGGGTGGGTACAGAAATACCTCCTAAAACTGAACACAGTTTGTAAAATGGGCTACTTTTCCTTTGGGACTTTATGTCTACTGGAAACCCAGATAGAAGTAGGACAATGGGAGAAAACATTTTGTTCTTCATCCACGTTTATTCAGCATACACACTTACTGGGTGTCTTTGGGGGATGTTTAGCTTTATGATCGACGCTGACCCTCAGGAAATGTAAGACAGAGACCCTGCTCCTTATAGTCTATTTGGGAGATGGGCAGACAGATAAGCAAATAAGAACAATAAAGCCTAACCAATAATCTAATGGGAGCCTGCCTAAGGCAAGTAGGGGTACATAGGTGGGAGCCGGCAATTCGGCTGGGGGTAGGTGGTATCAGGGAAAGGCTTCCTTGAAGGCAGAGGGGTCTCCCAGCTGCCTTACTTTCCTTGTGGAAGTGACCATGTGGCTTGCCTTAACAAGACCACCTTAAGCTTGGTTCTCATTGAGTTGTTCTCTCCCAGCTGGCCCCGTCGGCCAATAGGAAACTGAGTATTTCCAGCAGTGTCTTTCCCGATGCTCTGCCGTAAGGGACATTGTTGGTCCAAAGGGTACATTTATCTTCTACCAAACCCATTTGCTTCTCTTCTGTGTTTTCTTAAATTTTTTATTGGTGTATAGTTAATTACAGTAGTATGTAAGTTTCAGGTGTAGAGCAAAGTGATTCAGATATGTTAATACATGCATGTATATACATATAAACTCTTTTTCAGACACTTTTCCATTATATGTTATTACAAGTGAATATATTTCCCTGTGCTGTACAGTAAATCCTTGTTGTTTATCTGCTTTGTGTATAGCGATGTGTGTCTGTTGATCCCACACTCCTAGTTCCTCTCTGCTGTCCCCTTTGGTAATGATAAATTTGTTTTCTATGTCTGTGAGTCTGTTTCTGTTTTGTAAATAAGTTCATTGGTATCATTTTTTTTTAAGATTCCACACATAAGTGATGTCATATACTTGTCTGTCTCAGTCTGACTTAGTTTCTCCCATGTTTGTGATCTTATTGCATGGCCATCACCCATTATGGTTATCACCCAATATGGCTATCAGAGCCATATTGCATGGCTAACCGGGGACCCAGAGGCCACTTGGATCGCCTCCTCTCTCCTTCTGCAGTCATTGATTCTACCTCTGCAGCTGTTTTCAAATCTCCCCTTGTCTCCTGGCTCGGGCCACAGCACTGGTCCAGGCCCTCATGGTGTCTTGCCTGGGATTCTGACTGCTCTTCTATCTGTTAACCACTTCCACACTGCCATTCTCTCCTAAAATGCCCGCACCATATTTGAACTCCTTTACTGGATTCCCTTTGGATTTCAGGTTGAAGTTCAAATTTGTTAACTTGCCGTCCAGGTTCTTGCACCTAAGTTCTTCTTGATCTGACCCTTGACGACTTCTTTAGCATCACTTCAGGCCACTGCCTGCATTCTCCTCCCCTCTGCATGCCATGCACCATTCATCTAGCTGTTTAGAAGATCTTCCTTATCACTGACATGTTACTCTGCTTTATGATTTTTCTGCCTTCACGGGTACTGTTCCTTCTGTGTTGGAGTGTCTGTATTTTCCTTCCTGCTGCATTCTCCTCCCCTCTGCATGCCATGCGCCATTCATCTAGATGTTTACAAGGTCTTCCTTATCACTGACATGTTACTCTGCTCTATGATTTTTCTGCCCTCACGGGTACTGTTCCTTCTGTGTTGGAGTGTCTGTATTTTCCTTCCTGCTGCATTCTCCTCCCCTCTGCATGCCATGCACCATTCATCTAGATGTTTACAAGGTCTTCCTTATCACTGACATGTTACTCTGCTCTATGATTTTTCTGCCTTCACGGGTACTGCTCCTTCTGTGTTGGAGTGTCTGTATTTTCCTTCCTGCTGCATTCTCCTCCCCTCTGCATGCCATGCACCATTCATCTAGATGTTTACAAGGTCTTCCTTATCACTGACATGTTACTCTGCTCTATGATTTTTCTGCCTTCACGGGTACTGCTCCTTCTGTGTTGGAGTGTCTGTATTTTCCTTCCTGCTGCATTCTCCTCCCCTCTGCATGCCATGCACCATTCATCTAGATGTTTACAAGGTCTTCCTTATCACTGACATGTTACTCTGCTCTATGATTTTTCTGCCTTCACGGGTACTGCTCCTTCTGTGTTGGAGTGTCTGTATTTTCCTTCCTGAGTTCAACTGGCTCCTACTCATCTTTGCGAAGTTTGCTCTAGTATCACTTCCTGTGGGAAGCCCTCCCTGATAGCCCAGCCTGGATTTGTTATGCCTTCTCTGGACAGTTTTGGCTATAGCATCCTGTACTCATGTGTTATAGAATTTAGCTTACTATATCATGGTTTTTAATTTACTTATCAGTCTTTTGTACTAGAATACAAGCCCTTTGAGGCCAGAATCTTTACCTTACTCATTTTAGCAACCCTGGTACTTGGCACTTTGATGGTACATAGTAGTTATGTTTGGAATTAATATGTGAATAAATGATGTTCTTCCATCTGGCTCAGCATGATTCTTTTTTTTTTTTTAAGCGTGATTCTTAATATAAAGTGTTTAGAGCCCAGAAAAAACGACATGGGGTGGCACTTGGGAAAGGACTTACTGCCTCTCTTCAGAAGAGGCAGTCTGTCTGTCCTGGTAGGGGTGTGATGGAGGGTTTCCTGCTGCCTGTCCATTTCCCCATCCAACACCCACTCACCTTCCTGTGCCATTCACAGTCAGCTGAGAGCGGAGAATCAGGGCTAGAGTGAGGGACTAGCTTGGGCCTGGGGAAATGCCCTCAAGTCCAGGAGTCTTTCTGTTAATGTTCCTGCCATGCCATAGGATGGACCAGGACCCCAAGCCCTGCCAGGCGGGGTCTGGGATATCTGCCCTGCCAAGTCCCTCTTACCGTTGGTCCCAGAGTGTAGGTCGCGGTGGAGGTGGTGGTGGTGGTGATGTGTAGGACTGAATGGGGAGGGGGGCGGTGAAGAGCCCTTGCTGATGTTTTTGTGCACAACTGTTTTCTCCCCACCTGAAAAATAGACTTCCTTCTCCTCTTGAAGAGCTTTGCAGAATTCATTTCCAGCTTTGTTTTGAGCTGAAGGCTAGCCTGACTCCAAAAGAAACTTTAAAAGCTTCTAGCCCACGGTTCACACAAGCGAATTCCAATGAGCACTTTCATAAATGGCCGATTTGGGGGAAGATGTCAAAGGCCCCTGGAGAGTCCGGGCTGTCCCCTTCTGTCAACACTAGCAGGACTCCCCGCAACCTGACCACCGTGGGCCTCTTTTCACACTGACCCTAGCAAGTCCCATTTCTCTACTTAATGGTGTTGGGATGGATGAAAATGCCACTACCTTTTATTATAGCCCAGAACTTCTGGAAGAGATAAAAAGACCTGATTTGCTATTCTTGCTATATTGACAAAAATGTGTGCAGATTTTGATCCTTAAAGGTTGTGCAGAAAAACAAAGAGCCATCATTCTGCTTGCCCATTGTCCTCTGGGTTCTGTCTGCCTTGGAAAGGTGCTCCAGGGTGAAGTTTGGTAAACGAGATTTCTGCTACCAGGCACTGACTGCTGCTAAACTCTGAAGGATAAAATATAATATTGCCCAGTCTTGCTTTTAGCTGTCAATAGAAATAGTTGCCTGCTCTGTTTATTTAATATACACCACTATCCAGGTCTTTGGAGCTCCCTAGCCCCAAGATTGGTTTGGAGAGCCCCTACAGACTTTCAGGGGTCTCATGAGATGATTGCTGTGGTCATAAGCTTGATGCAGATGGCTTGTTGGATGTTGTAATGGACAGTTGTCTCTGGGGACCTTTAAAACATCTCTCACGCATCTTAAATTCCTAGTAAGGATCACTTGTTCATTTTAGATTTTGGAGTATGGAGTGGGAGGATTAGGAAAAGCCCAATGTTTTACTTTTCCTAGAGGAACTAGTTCAAAGGGCCAAGGAGGCCTCAAGACAGTGTTTGTCTTAGCCCACTACTACTCGGAACCTGCTAAACTTAGTCAGTTTGCTTTCCCAGGAAAGTGCATCCTGCACTTAAAGCATGTAGGTAGAGTATTTTAAGTTCCACTTTACAGATGAGATAACTGAGGCCCAGGTGATTTAAGCAATTTGTTGGTGGTCACAAGCAAGCTAGAGGCAGAGATGGGACTTATATCCATATTTCTTTACTCCAAGTTCAGTGCTAGGCTCACTGAGGTTCTAGTTTTAAGGAGACCTACATGCTATCAACTATCCTTCCCTCATCCCAGAGCAGACTGAAATCAGCCAGTATTATTTCCCCACCTCTCCAGGGGTTGAATTCATTTCTTATTCTCCTGGCTTTGGAGAATGTCGTACATGGAATGACCGTGTGACTCGCTTGTCTAGTTATTTAAAACCTAGAGCCAGCTTGGCCTCTGCTAGGATCAGACGACATGGGGCTTGCAAGCAGCCTCAGCTGTACATTCAGAGAAACATCTCGACTGCCTGGTATTATCTGGCAGAAAAGCCTTGGGCCAGGGTGGAGCGATCTGAGCTCTAGACTCTTTAACTGCCTAGACACTCTGCCCTCGGTTTCCCTATTTGTAAAACAATGCTGCCATCAGGACCTGCCTTCCCTACACCGCCGAGCTGTGATTGGGATTGAGTGAAAGCCCAAAGGGAAAGTCCACTGCTGCCCAGGTTGCAGCGCGTCCGGGGCTTCTTTGAGCAGCGAGTTTTGACGCCGAGGATGACTGAGTGACTCACGGGTGCGCAAGAGGGAGGGGTGGGGTGGGGTGCCCGTAACTCGTGGTGTGAATGCCCGAGTGCCTTCAGGACCCAGGTGAACCTGTCTCTCCTGTCTCCCGCATGCTCCAGGCTGGGGGAAGTTTGCTCGGCTGACCAGAGCACTGACTAGCAGCAGGGGTGTCCTGCAGCAGCTGGCTCCCAGCGTGCAGAAGGGCGAGAACGTCCACAAGCACTCCCGTCTGGCCGAGGTAAGGGCACGGGCTCCTTCAACCTAACCCTCCCCTCTCTTCAGGGGGTCCCTGGGCTGGAAAATGGTCCACAGGGAGGGTGCTGGCTTGGAAGGGGCCTTCCGGACTCCGGACTCTTGTCTTGGCTGAGCTGCACTCCACCGTGTGTGGCTCTGGGTAAGTGAGCTAACCTTGTCAGCTTTGTACCTTCCCATATGCAAAGGGGAACTGCAAGCTCCATTTGAAGCTGCTTGAGATAAAAGGTGTTGGTTGACTCTTGGGAAGGAGACAGTAGTGCTATATATATGAAGGGGGCTTTACTTATAAGCCTTTGGTATATGGTGTTTTGGCAATGCATACTATTATAGGAAAAGAAGATACAGGAAACAAAAAGGAAGAAAATAAAAATCACTTAGAATCCACTAGCCAGGTAACATTGTTATAATTTTTATGGGCTTGCCTTAACTCTTCTTTGTATTTAAGAAATATTCTATTTCCTCAAACCTAAGCAGTATATTTTTTCGCTCTAATGGAGTTGAGATGTATCTGAGAATTAATACGTGCATTTAAAGTGGATTATATTGCCTTTTCTTCATTTTATAAAATTATCAACATGTGGAAAAAAAAGTGAAAGTGTTAGTTGCTTATTCATGTCCGATTCTTTGTGACCCCATGGACTGTAGCCCACCAGGCTCCTCTGTCCATGGAATTCTCCAGGCAAGGATATTGGAGTGGGTAGCCATTTACTTCTCAAGGGAATCTTCCTGATCCAGGGATCAAACCCAAGTCTCCTGCATTGCAGGCAGATTCTTTTACCATCTGAGCCATCAGGGAAGTCTGATTATGAAAGTTTTCCTGGATAATAAATATACTTAATATTATTGTTGTTTCCATAACCTTTGTAGCAAAGAAAACTCATGGTGGTGGTGTTCCTCCTTTTGCTGGGACAAGTGAGAGTCTGGGAAGCCGGGACAAGATGTTTGATCAGGCTTAATGCACCCCCATGATTACTGTCTGTCTTTGGTGGTTTTGCCTGCAAACCACTCTCATCTCCCTCTTTTTGTTGGTGCCTGGTATGTTTCCCAACTAGACCAAGTAAGGTCTAGTTAATTAGTAAGACCAATTAAGAGCATTACACCTTCCATACACCAAATTTCCATCATACCCAAAGATGCCAGACTTAGCTGTCTCTCTGCCTGGTGGTGGCCCATCAGTTCTTAATCTGTGAGCAGAAGGCAGGGTGCTTCCTGACCTGCCTCTTAGCTCCCATAGCCCTAAGGGAGATGCTCCCAGCATGGTGCAGCTGACAGTGGGTGCTCTGCATATGTGCACCGAGTGTCTAATGGGTTGACTACAGAAGATGTCCCTATATGTATAGCAGCCAAAATCTCCTGCCCGTAGTGGGAATGGGGACATTCATTTGTGTCATGTTAGAGCAGGTGAGACCCTTGGATGACGGTAGCATCATTCTTATCATGACATGGGCTCATCTTGTGATAAAAAAAGGAGACCTTTCAGCTCGCAGCCTGCACTCTGTCTGTCCCTGATGCTGCTTTTGGTTGATAAAGCTCCCTCCTCTCACGCTGCTCCCCACCTGGCTCGCTCCCACCCAGCCCCATTCCTGCTGTTCCTCTCACAGCACAGGCTTGCTCTGCCTGTAGATATCTGTGTGCAGCGCCTCCACTGACGGCAAGTCTTTGCTCAAATGTCATTTTCTTTTTGTGGCTACTTGTGTCAGTAAGAGACACAATCACTAGTAGGAATATTTACATCTGAAGAGATTGATTGCAAGGAGTTGGTTTATGTGGTGGGCAGGGCTGGCTGGCCAGGTACAGAATTCACAGGGCAGGTTGGCCAGTTGAAAACTCTTGCAAGGAGCTGATGCTGAGGTCCATGGATGGAATTTCTTCTTTCTCAGGGAAACCTCAGTTCTGCTTTCAAGGCCTTTCAACTGATTAGATAAGGACCATCTAGATTATAGAGTGTAATCTCCTTTCCTAAAAGTCAGCTGATGGTAGGTGTCAATCACATCTACAAAATATCTTCATAGAAGCACTTAGTGTTTGACTGAACAACTGGGGATCATGGCCCTGCCACACTGACACATGAAACTAACCGTTACAGTTTATTCCTTGTCAATTTGGCACCCGTGTACATTTCCTTAAACCATGTCTCCAAATAAAGACAAAAGCTGAGTGCTGAATAACTGATGCTTTTGAACTGTGGTGTTGAAGAAGACTCTTGAGAGTCCCTTAGATTGCAAGGAGATCAAACCAGTCCATCCTAAAGGAAATCAGTCCTGAATATTCATTGGAAGGACTGATGCTGAAGCTGAAACTCCAATACTTTGGCCACCTGATGTGAAGAACTGACTCATTGGAAAAGACCCTGATGCTGAGAAACACTGAAGGCAGGAGGAGGAGAAGATGACAGAGGATGAGATGGTTGGATGACATCACTGACTCGATGGACATGAGTTTGAGTAAACTCCGGGAGTTGGTGATGGACAGGGAAGCCTAGCATGCTGCAGTCCATGGGGTCGCAAAGAGTTGGACATGACTGAGTGACTGAAATGACTGAAAGACAATAACAGAGTCATACTTCCACCTAACATGGTCCTCTTATCTTTTCTAATTAAACTTTTAATTTTGTTTTGGAATATAGCTGATTCACAATGTTGTGATATTAATAGTTTCAGGTGGACATCAAAGGGACTCAGCCATACATATACCTGTATCCATTCTCTTGCATATAATCAAAACATACCAACCCTCCCCCAGAGGAGGAGGCAAAGTCCTTGGGTGAGATCCACGCGTCTCCTTGACATCCTGTAACTAAAACAGTGTGGTATAAACTTAACTCCTATCAGTACATCCTGTGTTAGATGATAAAGGAATAAGAGGGAAGAAAATAAAAGTAATAAATAAAATAAAATGCCTATACACACACACACACACACACACACATGCAAACATTCATAACAAAATAAGAAATACTCATAACTCTTAATCCTCTCCTTAACCTGCTCTGTTATTCTCCACTTAACATCTCCCAATATACTCTGAAGCTGAAACTGTTAGTCACTTAGTTGTGTCCAACTCTTTGTGAAACCATGGACTATAACCTGCCTGACTCCTCTGTCCATGGGATTTCCCAGGCAAGTGTACTGGAATGGGTTGCCATTCCCTTCTCCAGGGGATCTTTCAAACCCAGGGATCGAACTCAGGTCTCCTGCATTTCAGGCAGATTCTTTACCCTCTGAGCTACAACAGAAGCTATACAGTTTACTTATTTATTATATTTTCTGTTCACTGATATATCCCAAGCATTTAAAACAGTGTTTGGCACATAGTAGATGCTCATAAGTGTTTTTTTTTTCCCCTTAATTGATCAAATGGATAAAAGAAAGGAAGTGATGTTGGTGTTTTTGTCTACCTGTCTGACATGAGTAAGTGCTGATTGACTGGCAATATGAGGCAAACATCTAGGTCCTCTCCCAGGGGCTAGTAAATTTTAATTAGCCTGGCTAGAGGCTTATGGATTTTATTGATCTTTTCAAAGAACCAACTTTTGGTTTTGTGGATTTTCTCTGATGGTTTCCTGTTTTAAATTTCACTGATTTCTGCTCTAATCTTTTTTTTCCTTCTGTTTAGTTTGGATTGAATTTACTCTTTTTCTAGCTTCCTAAGATGGAAGCTCAGTTTATTGATTTTTTATCTTTCTTCTTTACTAATATATGCTTTCAATCCTATAAATTTCTTTTTAAACTCTGCTTTCACTGCATCCCACAAATTTTGATAGGTTGTGTTTTCATTTTCAGTTTGTTCAAAATATTTAAAACTTTCTATTGAGGTTGTTTCTTTGATCCCACGTGTTATTTAGAAACGTTGTTTAATCTCCAAGTATTTGGTGATTTTACAACTGTCTTTCTGTTACCGATTCCTGGCTTAATTCCACTGTGATCTGAGGACAGACGTTGTTTGATTTCTACTCTTTTAAATTTGTTGTGTTTTATGGCCCAGTGTGTGGTCTCTCTTGGCAAATGTTGCATTTGGGCTTGAGAAGAATGTATATTTAGCTGCTATTAGGGGAAGTAGTCTATAGATGTCCTTTATAGCCACTTGATTGATGGTGGTGTTGAGTTCAACAATGTCCTTACTGATTTTTGCCTGCTGGATCTGCACCTTTCCTTTAGGGGGCTGTTTAAGTCTCTAACTATCATAGTGGATTCATCTATTTCTCCTTACAATTCTATCAATTTTTGCCTTGTGTATTCAATTCTATCAGTTTCTGCCTCAGGTATTCAGTTCTTTCCGTTTCTGCCTCTGGTATTTAATACTTGTTCTGTTGCTTGGTGCCTATGTATTAAGGATTGTTATACCTTCTTGAAAAACCCAACTCCTTTATCATTATGTAATGCCATTCTTTTTAAATTTATTTTTTAATTGGAGGATAATTGCTTTACAATGGTGTGTTGGTTTCTGCCATACAACAACACAAATCAGCCATAATGATATATCTCGCCTCCCTGTTGAGCCTTCCTCCCCTCCCCCATCCCCCTCCTCTAGGTCATCACAGAGCATCAGACTGGGCTCCCGAGTTAGACAGCAGCTTCCCAATAGCTATTTCTTTCACACGTGATAGCCCAAGCAAAAAGTGGGCAGAGGACCTAAATAGATATTTCTCCAAAGAAGACATACAGATAGCCAATAAATACATGAAAAGATGTTCAGCATCGCTCGTTATTAGAGAAATGCAAATCAAAATTATAATGAGGTATTACCTCACACCAATGAGAATGGCCAACATCAAAAAATCTACAAATGATAATGCTAGAAGAGAGAATCCTCTGCACTGTTGATGGGAATGTAAGTTAATACAGCCACTATGGAGAACGATATGGAGATTCCTTAAAAAACTAGGAATAATACTACCATATGACCCAGCAATCCCACTACTGCATATATACCCTGAGAAAATCATAATTGAAAAAGACACATGTGTTGTAATGCCATTCTTTA